AACACCTCGCGTTTGCTCAACAAAAATACGAAGAACTACTTGATCAATGCCGAGGTTAATAGAAAGTCGGTCGTGGGAGTAAATAAAAGGGTTAAGATTGCTCTTAGCTTTCTTCAATTTCTGAGGGATTCGCCATGCATACGGCTTCATTAAGCATCGTTTGAAGATGATTGAATGCATATCTGGCGTTTACAAGGACTCACGGTGGCCTAGAGATGTATCGAGCCCGTGCTGGTATCCACCCACACATGTCTAATACCAATTTGCCGACTCTGGAAGGATAGGAGGCTTGGTAGGCCATGAGCAAAGGGATCGATCCCATGTGTGTATTGCAGGGCTCCTCTGACCATAGCGCCACACGCGCCCATTAACATATGTGTGTGGTATAATCTTATTTTACAAGAATCTCTATCTTGTGAGGATAACATATGTGTGTGGTATAATCTTATTTTACAAGAATCTCTATCTTGTGAGGAATATTGACCGATGTGGTCGCAAGTTCCTGCTGCATAATTTGTAACCTGATTTCGCTCTAATGACGAAACATTGACAATGTGTGACCACCTACTTTTCCTGAGAGGTAGCAGGATTCAACCACATTGGCACCACGCTATTCTTCGATACCTGCCGTACATCCATGGCTCTACTTCTATTCGAATGGACTGATTGTGTATGGTTTACATGGTGTTCATAGCAGTGAGTAGAGCTGACTTACTGCATTCACTTGATCTTTAGTTCGATACCATGCTCAACTAAGCAATCCTTTCATCTCTCTGAGGTCGTTAAATTGGTAGTGAGTCTGTCTGGAAATGTAGAAACACTGACTTGCTACATAGGGAGGCGTTTTCATGTCATTGTATGAACCAAATACGGACTGAATGACGCATATGAATCCATAGTGACGATTAATCGATTAAGTGACGTACCAATAAAAGTAAAAAAGCGATAAAGTTCTCGGCGTTCGTCAATCCAGAGGGGCGCGTCATGCATTCGACTTCACTTGGCATCACTGGAGGTGATTGAATTCATACCTGGCGAGTCATTACTGCTGTCCTTCCAGACAGGTTTGGCACCAATTTGCCGATCCAGGAAGGATGAAGGGCTAGGTAAGCCTGGGACGCGGGGATCGATCCCATGTATATTGCAGGACACCTCGGAACCATGCGCTGTACACGCAGTTCATGTAGCACGAAAGTAACATGTAACAGTTGCAGCATAGAGTAGTGGTTAAAGGTGTTGTGCAATACACATGTGGCTGTTGGTTCTATCTCGGGTCCCTAACTCACCAAGTCTTCCATCCCTCTGGGGCCAACAAACCGGTGTGAGACTAGTCTGGGAGGATAGCAGCACAGGCTCCACACATCGGCAGGCCACAGCAAGTCATTGTATACACCGGGTGTGCATTCGTTCACTTCCAGCAGTGCTTGGTAGTGTTTGAATCATAGCACATTCTTTACGGATTGGTCAACGTTGAACTCTTTGTTCTTTGTCCTTATGTTCAACTGTTGGAGCTGTGAAGTCGTTCAGCGAGTTCCAACACCAACTGTCTGTCAAGGTGGGGTGTTATAGCTTCTAAGCGAATATGTTATCTGATTACTGATCTCGTAGAAAGGTGGATGATATTGCTGATCTTGGCAATTCCTCTTCTCTACAAGAAAACAGCATTTAAAGACTCAATAAGATTGTAGACGAAGCTAGGGAATTTTAACTGGTGATGATATGGACAAGCCCAGTTCTTTGTATACAGTTCTTTTTTCATTCTATTCCTATTACTTACTTGCTTGATAGCTAGTTCTCACTGGTTTTGCGGACTCCAGCATAACCTCCACTTTTTTTGCAGATTTGTTGGTCTAGCCATTGTGGTTCTCTGGAATCCCGAGGTCAGCCTGGCCAAAGTCTGCCCCAGGTCTTCACCACCACAGGCAATCACAGTCCTTGTGGATCAGAGGGAGATTTGCCACCATGCGATTTGTTTGGTACCAGGACGGTGTCGGATCCTGGTATTGGTTTACTCTTTAGTAGGCTCCCGGGTGGAAACGCCGGACTCCAACCTGGGAGACCCTGCCTAGGGGACGAATCCCTCCGCAGTACACCTCAGTCCGACACCCAGGAACGCCTCTCAGCAACGATGGGGCATCAAACCGTTGGGAGGCTATTGCTATTAAGCCTAAAAAAAGACTTCTACTTACAGCAGATTATCATTGGCAAGGTTGTTAACGGAAAATAGTAATTGTGGGAAAGAGGATCGCACTATGCTGTAGACTACAGCATTCCGAGGCCATAGAAATTTCCGCGTTTGTTTGGAGCAAGCCGAAGCCCTTTTTTTTATTTGTCCACTGAAAAACAAATGCCTGGTAATATGTAGAGGAGATTTTACGGATATTTTAAGGTTTTATGAGTATTTTTCAGGACCTACGGAATCTTCGGGTTTTGTGGATCGACGAAAATCCATGCACTAGATCTGGAGACTATCGACATCGTGTGCTACGAATTTTACCACAACTTACAAAATTAGACGATAAGCGTACGTTTAACAAAAATCCCATAAATTTTTTTTCCACTGGAAACTCCATTTCCTAAATTGTAAGTTAAGCTGGGAAAACAGCCAAAATTCAAAAAAAAACTTTTGTGTTCATTGACCCAGGTACGGTATTTTAGAGCAGAAAATCTGAACAAAGTTTCGAAATAGGAAGAAAACACGGTGAGAAAATTGTTCTATCGTGAAAAATTTTAGAGTAATATTTTGTTCCGTAGATAGACTGGTTATTACCAAAACTCTTTTTTTTATTAACATTTCTACTCATTCACCTTTTCTAAAAGCGCGATGATTTGAATCGGATCCCCAAAACAATTACTCTTTGTAGTGTGTGAGCTCTCGTATGTGAGTTCTCGTACTGTCGACACCATAAACGCTCAAAAAGCTCCCGGCGTTGATCAATCCCTTTAGGGATGCGCCATGCGTTCGACTTCATAAGCATCGTTGGAGGTGATTGAATCCATGTCTGGCGTTTACAATGACTCGCGGTGGCCTACCGATGTATCGAGTCGCTGCTGCTATCTTCCTAGGCCAGCGAGGTAGCAATTTGCCGATCTCGAAGGGATGGAAGGCTTGGTGGGCCATGGTCGCGGGGATCAATTCTACGTGCGTGTTGTGTTGCAGGGCGCCTCCGACTACTGTACCACACGCACCCTTATCGACACCATAACTACCAGAAATCATCCCATAAATGGTAGCAGAGTACAATTGTTTTCTATAGGTGGGCCTTAAGGTAAACAATTTTATCCCTACAGTGTTCCTCTTCGTTGGATTCGGTTCGAAGACCACGAGAACTCACATATCGCAGGAAATATCAGTTGCAGACATCCGATTCGAATCGTTCTAAAGAAACTGAAACGGCTCTGAAGCAAGCGAAATCTCCGGAATGTTAGCCACGCTGGAAAATTTCCATAATAACATTGTGTTAGTTTATGAATGCAGCGAGTTGTTAGTTGTTCAGAATAAAATTTTCGTTTCTAAATATTCGCAGAGAAATTTTGTTACTCGTTTCTACAGCTGTGACACTCGACGATCATATGGAAGCACAACAGGACGACTCAGTTCCCGAATGCGATATGCATGCGAGTATGCTAAGTCTTCAAAGTGCACGAAGTTCAAGAGGTAGTGCGACAGTACACGACGTCATGACACAGTCGCTTTATGGTTAGCTTATCACTGTTATTAATTTTTCCTCCAGGGATAGAAACGAAGCTTTCACCTTCGATCGACCCCTGCAAGATTCGCTTTGAAACCTATTTTACCTAGCATCGGTAAAAATGACCGAGTGTTTTTATCCTCTAGAATGAGATACGGTGGCTTACTGATGTACCAAGTCGGTGCTGCATCTCTCAGACAAGTTTGGTTCATTTTTTTCGATCCGGCTAATTTGAAAGGTTTGGTGAAATCGAAACATGCGATTCGAACTAACAATCACGTGAGCGTTGCGTGACACCTTTGGTCATTGCGCTACACGGCCTCCTACAACTGACATTTACTAAAATCGCGTTCTTCCGGGACAGAAACCAGCTTTATGGACTTTGTTCCACGATTTTTGGCAAAATACGCTGAGCCAACCCTCGTTAAAGCTCCGATGTGATTTGTTTATTCAGTACTTCAGTCGTGTTTCAAGAATCCTGCCTTGATAATAATGTCGTTCTGCAACTTCTTAATGTCGTCAAAGATTCTGTTGGTGGCACCTATCCATTGCATATACAGAATGTTGCCATTGCTTTTCATGCTTCAACCGCAATGAGATAGTTCTGAGACCTTTGCAACCTCTCCACACTCGCGCTATCTAATACTCTCGTATTAGGTTTTATAATGAAATGCAAAGAAAGATAAAACTTTTGCCATTGACCTGTTTGTTACGCAGTGGATTATCAAATATTCATTCTATTAAGCACCATAGAGGTGATTGAATCCATATTTGGCCTACACAAGGATTTGTATTGGCTTGTGGATACGTAACGTCAGTGACTTTCTCCTCCTAGACAAGTGTGGTACCGATTTTTCAACAGCAGAAAAGTGGAAGGTTTACTCTATCTGGGACACGCGATCGAACTGACAACCATGCGTGCATTTTAGGGACCTTTAACCACTTCTCTATATCCCGCTTTCCGTGCTAATATAATACTTTACAATATTTTCTTTGTTTTTTCCAAATTTAGTATTGAAATTCAGAGTCATATCTGTACCAAGTGCCAGCACAACCTTTACGATTTCACCTTTTGCTGCCGATTTTCTAATCTCATTAAACATCATTCGACATTTTTATATTGGATTTATGTGAGAATATTACTTCAATTAGTAACGAATAATTGCTGATAGCACCGTTAAAATGAAAACTAGCTGAGAGAGAAGCGAAGCAAAGGTCTCGTTTTGTGTTGTGGAAAACGCGAGAGGCTCCGGAAGGGATGACCGTGGGTTCGAAGCCCACAAGAGGTTCCGAGTTTTGTCTATATGTCAGAATCCTTGTGCTTGCACTGCACAATCTATCCCGCCACGAAAGAGCCCGTGTAGCACAATAGTTAGAGATGCCTTGTAATACACGTGGCCGGCGCTCCAGACTCACCAAGTACACGCCGGGGTCGGTAAATTGGTGCCGGCCTTATCTAAGAGGATAACAATGTTGACTTGATACATCAATAGGGCACCAGGAGTCATTGTATAGACCATATATGCATTCAATCACTTCTAATCATGCTTAATGAGGTCGAGTGAATGGCGCATCCTCCAGGGGTTTATCAACGCCGAATTCTTTATCTTTTTTATCTTGCCGTAAAGAAGAACAAGCAGTAAGTAAAAGTTAAAACAAAGACAAACAGAGTCGTCTTACAGTATAATGCAAACTAGAATATTGATTTTTTTATGATTGAGGTCGAGCAATTGTGGACACGGTAATGCAACCACAGATGGTTAGCTACGGTGACGTATCGGACGAGGAACGATTACCACCGCCGATTGACCAGCAAACGTTACGAGGCTCGAGATTTAGTCTGGCCAATCAAACAATCCATCCGTCAATGATGCAGTCCATCTACGATCCATCCACTGCCGATAGAGACGAGAGTTGGTACGACTTCAGGTACGACTTCCTTAGAAGTGAACGGTTTTGTTTTATTTTAGTCGCACGTTACAAAACTGTGTACGAAACTAAACGACGGTAATCGTTAGCGCTACCGAAACAATACTGTTAACAGAAATCGCAATCTAGTACTTTTCTTCTTCAGCAATCGCGATGTTGTTAAACAGCACACATTTACTTCCAGATAATCACTCGCCCCTTATAGTGCTATCCGAGACTCTACGAGGATGAAAAGTAAAACCTTGGAAAGGAGAGCGGTTTCCATAGTAGGGGCTAAAATTCTAGAGCAAGAGGTTAGGCGAAATGGCCCATAAATTCTAGCTCTGGTTCTAATCCTTGTACTGGAGGAGGTCTTGTGAGTGTAAGATTTATTGTTAGACAGCCATTAATGTTCTATATAGTGTGAGAAAAGCTGTAATAACGATACGCAGCGGACCGTAGCACACAAAAAGCTTAGAAAACGATATAGGAAGACTGGTATGCCATGTTAAGAACATTTGGAGAATCAGCGATGATTTCTCTTCAGTTTCAATTTTCACCGAGTCTGTATTCTTTCAGTTCTTACCATTAGATTAGATTTGCGACAGCTTGTAGCTTTTTATGTACTCTCTTGCTGCAAAGCCTTTTTTTTAGAATCATTTTTCAAAAGAAGAAGCTTTCTGGGATAAAAACCATTTTTTTCCGTCGTACGCAATTATATTTCGCTTCATTTTCTCCTATTTATTTGGGTTAAAGGAACTATTCCTTATTCATCCAAAAAATGCAATGAATCGAGGTCAATCGGTGGCCTTTCGTATTCAGCGCTAGCTCGCTACTTTGTTTTTGTATTTTCCTTCACTCATTCCTCTTCGAATAGTTTTAATAATGGCGGTCGTCACGAGTATGGGTTTAGATCGACCCCGCACTGGGCTCACCAAGTCTCTCATCCCCCCAAGGTCAAGAAATTGGTACCGGACTTGCTCTGCAATTCAAGTGGAAATGATTTAGCCTAGCTATCCCAGAACTGTAGAGAGAATCGACTCGAACAACATTCAACGACATTTACAACGAGGGGAAAATCCTCAAGCATCACCCGAGCGAGAACTGCTGGTATTTCTAGATCTGAAAGGCGGGTCGGAGTCGTATAGAATAAAATATTCCTCTTCATCCTCGCTTTTTTCAAGTTCTTTTTTCTTACTCGTATCTGATGATCTTACCTTGCCCTTTACTTCATTAGACTCTTCTGTTTCATCATGTTTCTGGGATTCTTTTCAAGCCGATTTATACTTGGTCTTGTATTGTCGAGATGTAGCTCTTTCTCATCCGATAGCTCTGATGTCACTTCACAAGAGCGTTTTCGAAGGAAAAGCGGACTGAAAGCATTGTGTATGGAAATGCCCAGCATTCCACAGATGCTGACCGCTATTTGCCACTTCGTGAGAATACACAGCATGACGGCGAAATCGTTCGGCGAGTTGTTTTTGTTTGTCAATGTCATTTTTTCCGCATATGTCGGATTCTATCGCTTCAATTGACATCATGTAACGTTTCATTTGTCGGGTTTCTGTTTTTATCCGAATCGCTTGCATATCAATATTTTCGTGAGAAACAGAGATAGGCTTGTTATCATAGCACTTATTTAACAACGGCTAACGTTTCGGTAGATTTCGTCTGTTTTAGGGCCAGCAAAGGTCACGTATCAACGTGACATACACAGCCAAGTACTTTTGTAGTCCTAATAGAAGAAATTCAGTGCCTAGATTTCAATCATATGCGAAACAGTTTCTTTGGAACACCCATGGTTTCTCGTACCCCTTCTATTTACTGGTGGAAATGATTATTTATAAAGTATGAAGGATTAAGCTCTCGCGTTAATCAATCCCTGAAGGATGCGTTATGCATTCGACTTCATTAACCATTGTTTAGAGGTGATTAAATGCATATCTGATCTTTACAATGACTCGCGGTGGCCGATCGGTGTATCGAGCCAGTGCTGCTATCCTCCAAAAAAAGTCTGGTACCAATTTGCCGGCCCTGGAGGCATGGAAGGCTTGGTGGGCCATAGGCGCGGGGATTGATTTCACGTGTGTGTTACAGGGCGCCTCCGACCACTACGTCACAAGCGATTATTTGTGGGTGTACAGGAACAAAGATAGGTAATAGTGAATTTCTAATACATCAGTCCATTTGTCGTAGTCTCAAAGTTGGGTAAAGAAGGCAGAAAGTAGGTCCTGATCCTCATTCACCAGCAACGAAACTAATGTGGAAGGTGGTTGCTAAATGTTACTAATGAAAAGCAAATGAGAACTCCTACATTCGGTAGCCTTCCGATTTCTTTGAAGATTTTTTCCAGTAATATGTTTTCAAAATTTAGTAAGAGCCAAAGATAAAGATGAGACAAAACTTAATTGGTGCCACATAGTTCTGAACAGTGGCGATTCTAGTTTTGATGAGGAAACTCGTCCCAGTTCAATGGATACTATAACAAGCAGGATGTGCGTTTCAATGCATGAACCGCGACGACCAACCAATACAATGTACGGACGTAGTATTAGTGCTCCAAGACGACGAGTTCATGTGAGACGAGATTCACGAAGTCCAGCACGAGTTCGGTTATTTCGATTTTCTTTGTTAAGTCGATTCTTTGCAAGTATTTTATGATTGTTTTTTCATAGGATATCCGTTTGAACAAGATCATGTCGGCGGTGACGGTGTTACTGGACGAGTTAGATGCCGACGGCTTGCGAGCAGTAATACAACAAGCGCAAGATCGTATGAAGAAAAGATGGTAAAAAGATGGATAGATGAAAAGAAAAGCTTTACAAAACACCCACGCAATTTATATAACCGTGGAAAACTTGTTTCTCCGCTTCTGTTTTAAGTTCGGGAGCCCAAAAAAATTTCGTCTCTCAGTTCCTACCTTGGAGAAAACACCATGTATTACGATTACACGGAAAAGAACATTCGAACTCAACTATCTGACACCGCATTAGTTGTTTTCCTTTCTTGAAACATGGTTTTCTCTACTGTCTGTACTTTACCAAAGGTCTTCCAATCTTCCAATTCTCACCAACGAGCGTTTTCATCGATGGTCAATGTCAAAAGATGAAAGAAGTAGTCGAAATCGTACTTGTGACAGTACTACGCAGTAATTTTTGAACGTTTGTTAAATAGTAGAGCTAAAGAAAATTAGGGAATAGTTAAGTTCGCGCTAAATCGGGACCAAGTGCCCTAACGCCCTACGGCACCGACAGGCAACTTACCAGATCTAAACCAGTTTTTCTAGAAGTCTCTTCTTCGGATTTTTCCAATTTTTCTAAGCAAGCCATTCGTCTTACCTGAAACCGTAGGTGTCATAAACACAAAAGATCCGTTAGGAGGCCCGTTGTTGTTTTTCTAACCGACCAAAAGAGCGACCACATCGCGCATTCTTCTAACAGTTTATGTTTCGCCATATTTTCCTTTGAAGCGCTTGCTTTTGTCTGCTGCTTTTATAACGAAAATTTTCGACAGTAATCGATTAATATTGATCCATTTTTGTGACTGGTTCAATAGTGGTGTGTGTGCGGGACGGGTAAGATCCACTCAATTTGAAATTTTTGCTATGATTCGTTTGTAGCGATTGCCAATTGCCTTTATTAATTTCTGTCCTTTATTTCTTCCGTGATATTTCTGCTTTCATGGACGTTTTTGTAGGGGTTTTTTCGGACTTTTTTAGCCTCATAATTTCATTCACGGCTGAACGTCTTTTGAAGTGGCAATTATTTCCTACGATACCGACGACGATATGTTTTCACGGTCGTGACGGTGATTTGTGTAATTATCGCTTTATTTTGGTGCTAAGAAGTTGAAGTAATAAATCTATAGCTAATTTGTTGAAGATTTTCAGCAATTTACTTTACTTGTGTAACTGTTTCTGTAGGGGGCGTGCGGCGCAGTGGTCGGAGATGCTCTGCAATGCACATGAGATCGATCCACGCGCCTAAGGCCCTCCAAGTCCTCCGGAGTCGACAAATTACTACCAGGCTTGTTTACGAAGATAGCAGCACTCGCTCCATACATTGGCAGGCCACCACGAGTCATTGCAAAGATCGGATATGCATTCAATCACCACTAACCATGCTTGAGAAGATCGATTGCATGGCGCATCCCTCAGGAATTGATCAACGCCGACAGCTTTATCGTTTTTAAATGTTTCTGTATTCTGCCGATATTACACAGTGTATTACTGCCCGTATTTTTGTTTCAGTTTCGTATAACATGCATATTTAAAAGGATAAGGATAATTATTTCAAGAGTGTGACCAACCACAATGATGCTGAGATTTTTGCGTAACTCCGGACCGCAGGTGTTTGCGGTGGGGGAACGATCTCGTTATCACCTTTTCCTATGGCTAACGCGTTCACCACCATACCATGCGGGTTCTTCGTTGCGCCTGTGTCGCATCTAGTTCTATTGATCAGGCCATCTGCAATCACCCGTCAACGGAGTTGGTTCGGGTTGCCCAAATCGGCACCAAACTCAGTTAAGCTAGGGTGATAGGCGAAGCGAAGGACCTGCATGATGTGGCGGTGAACGCGTTAGTCTCCCGAAATGGTAATAGCGAGTTCGTTCCCCATCGCTGACACCTGGGGACTGGAGTTTTGCAAATATTTCAGCATCATTGTGATTGAGTCACACATAATAACTTGCCGGGAAAAATTGTAATAGGCAGTAAATAAAAAGTTAACTCGTATGAAGTGCTGAGATATTTGCAAAACTCCGGACCACAGGTGTATGCAGTGGGGAACGAACAAGCGCTGTTGTCCTTACCGAGGAGCAGCGCACTTCACCACTACACCATTCGGATCCCGGATGACGAATGTTTTAGATTTCTTTGCGAGGATACTGACTTTTAAGTTAAAACCTTCTCCTTTATGTCGTTAGGCTCTGTGCGAACCTAGTGGAGTATTTGCATTAATTTCAAATTTATCGTCCAGGGCGCTTTCATACAGGTGTAAAGGTAGTCTACCTGTTTCGTCAACGAGTTCGTACGAGCAACCTTTACAAGAGGTAGGACAAAACATACCTAAACTCATGCAATCGCCGTTTCTACCTTTAGGGCATATTATGCAATTTTTCCTTGTATATATACGTTCATACGAGCGGTTACGAACTAACTGTCGTCTTAAAGTGTTAAATTGTACTTCAACTTCTCTTACCGAATTCTGTAGACTGACCCTTCTTAAGCAAGGCTTTATAGCTGCACCAATTTGGTTTGAAATAAAGGGCAGAATAATCGGGACTTTATTCTCGTTGGAATTGTGGTTTAGGGTGGTACGGAGTCTTTCTTTTTCCAAATCAATGCCAAGCAGCTACTACCGTTTCGCAGCCAGTAGAAACGCCTATTTGCTCCACTAAGTTCAGAAATTCCTTCTGCTCTGTTCCTGTGCAGAGATTGGTGGTCGTTCGAAACGTGTTTCTCACATGCCTGCGTTTTATGTAAGAAGAGTGAGAGGAGAAGTAGTAAACAAATATTTATTTACTACTCGACTTCCAGTACTAATTTGTGCCGCAATCGCTCTCGGATAGGTTAGCTTGAGCCTCCAAGAATAGAACCAATTTGCTTTCGGCTACTTCCGGGTGAATGCTCTGTTGATTCAACAGCCAAAAACACACAAGATGTTTGATTCAATTCCATCGCTATGGCTAATTAAGACATCCATATATCGGAAATCGCCAAATTGGCACCAGACTTGTCTAGCGAGATAAGAAACATTGACTTAGTACGGATGTAGGTCTTGTTGCATGGGCCAAATATTCCATTATTGACAAGTCGGCAAAATTGTGAAAGATTCCCATTCCAATGCAATAACCAGCGATTACCGTTGTTCCTTACTCAAGATTCCATGAAGTTCTGCTCACCATCTTTAGCCTCTATTCCCCATCGATCCTTCGTCACCTTAATGTGGCTTACAATGTCTTCCAATCTCAGAAGGAGTTCAGCATTTATGCTCAGAAGCCTAGCAAAGAGTAAGCCCATATTCTGGTTATTAGCTATGGGTGATCCATACCATACCAAAACAGTGCAAGTAATGCTGTGAGCTAAAAGTATAAGACTATTCGCTTCCATCAAACAAAGTAAGTGGCTCAAGTGCGACAGATGGCGACATTACGCACTTTGGCTTAGTTAATCGTTGATTGATCGCTGATTAGCGATAATACAAGTGATACGAGTGGTAGGTTTGTGAACCAACTGCTTTACAAAAATTGCAGCGCAACCGACAGGGAATCGCTAAAATGTAAAATTTGAGGAGTGAACACGGTAGAAGAATTCTACCACAAAATTAACAACACTTAAGCTCGAGTTCGTATTTGTTGAACATTGAAGAGATTGAGTAGAATGCCATTGTGACTACGAATTGCTTAATTATCCATTATTGTAAATGTCGATCGCTGAGTCTTGCTACGCTTCAACTGCTGCTTTCTTTTGGGGAATGGGGATAAGGATGTTGCGGTAACGAAGTACACGAAAGTGGTGCTCGCGGTGTGCTAGCAGTATTAACATAAAAGAGCTTCTCTAAGTATTGATCGTGAATTCTACGTCATTCGTAGCATCGTGGTGATGGTTGAATACATATGTGTGACGTATACGCTGGTTTCGAGTGACCTACTGATGAATCAAGTAGGTTTTATATCCATCAAAACAAATCTTGTTTATTTGCTCAACCTTGGTGAGATGGAGAGATAGTTAGTCTAGGATGTAAGACCGAACCTGGTCCACTATGCATTCTGCATTGTGTCTGTAAGCGTTGCATTACATACGTACTAATGTAGTAAATGAATTAGGAGTGAAAAGAGAGAAGCCTAAAAAGAAGTTCCACGATTGAGACGAGAAGCTCGTAAATTTTGAGGCTTCAATTCCATTCTGGATGGATGTTTGTTGCGATAATGTCTCGAAGAGGTCTCATAGAATGATGACCTTTCCGTAAGCACCGCCCATAATTTACGACGATCACCTCCTCCGTAGGACAGGCGGGCCCTCTCTTTACTCGTTTGCTACATATCCCACATCTATTTCTGTCTAAATGCGGAGCACCATTGTATTTCTCATCATAAAGGTTCGTCCGTCCACCTTCTTTTCTTTTACTATGTCTTTTTCCTTTACTTTATTACAACTCGGAAAATAAATAAATCATTCCGCGGAAGTGAAAAAACTCGCCTCGAATTCAACGCATCTTAAAATAAATAATTTCCATTGCTTATTATATAACCACCCTTTAATTGATAACCGATAGTTTATGATCACGATAATGGGAATAATGATATTAGTGGTAGGAAGGAACCAACCAGCACTTCAAGCTTAATTTTCGTCTTCTCCCTGATTTCTAAACTTCACAGCACGTTGGCTTGAAAACTATGACATCGATCTTCCCTCCACTTTTTCCAAAGGATTTGCAGTTTTATTCAATGTGAAAAAAGTATGAAAATAATAAATATCATTAATAAGCAGGCGTATCATTCAGTAGAAGTGAAAAATCAGTTCAAACCCAGCATGTCTTCTTGTAATAGACGGTTTTCATTCTCACTTGTGGAAAATTTATTAGAGCAGGAATTTGGAATGTGGAGATTTCTCGGGAGAAAATAGCCGTAGATTTCCTATGAGAAATGTTAAGTGTAAGGTAAATGAAGCCTCTCTCAGCACGGTTTCCCAAGCTGAGAACGAGTTCGGCGTTTCCCTCAGGAAGCCCAGCTAAGAGTGAAACAATGCCAGTATTCCGCACCGTATTGGTGTCAAATTAGTTGCATGGCG